AGTCTCTCTAATAGTCAATGTAACTTTCATGCGGGCCGCTCCACTACTGACCCCTTTCTCCGCTTCGGTACCTATGTTTGTAATACCTGTGCTAGTAACCACTCGGTTAAGGAATATGACATTACTTGGAGATATAACTTCTTGGCCCAAATTCATTCCTTAGGCTTCTAAAGCAATCTGCCACTTTTTCTTAGAAACTTCACCTCTGAGCCACGTTTCCGTATTTGCGTTACTGTTTCGCTTTCCCCGGACTTGTCCATGCTGAAGGTGTCCCTCAAGGATATGTACTTAGCACTACTCTTTTTCTACTAGCTATAAATGATCTGGCCTTGTTCTTCCATTTAATATTTGGTCATCACTTTATGTCGATGACTTTGCTATAGCCTGTGCAGGCGGTGACTGTCGCATAGTAGCAGCCTCACTCCAACACGCATTCAAGTGTGTTTCCCATTCGGCCACTATGCATGGGTTTAAATTTTCTGTTGCTAAAACGCACCAAATTATTTTCACTAGACGTTTTGTTGTCTCCGGTACTCTACTGTATGACTCCCATATCCCTGAAAGTGGAACGGTGAAATTTCTTGGTCTGCTGTTTGATCGCCGGCTGCCTTGGAAACCTTACATTACCTCCGTGAAAGCAACTTGCCATAGCCGGCTGAACCTCCTCAAAACCCTTGCTCATCTTTCTTGGAGGGGGAGGGGGTTCGATCGTCGAACTCTTCGATTTTTCAAAGCCTCTTCCACAACTCTTTTTAAACTTGATCACATTCATAATCTGGAATTACGTTTATGTCTAGGTGCTTTTTTTGCCCCTCTCCTGTTGAGAGCCTTTATGCAGTGGCGAATGTTCCATCCTTGAACAATTGCCGAGATGCTCATTTTCTCTGTTATCTTTTCCGCTCTCATGACCTGCAAGATCCTTCTACATACAGGATAATAACAAATGTTAGCAAAGGTCCATTATTTACTCACCGCCCCTGTTTACTCCTTCCCTTTTCTCTGTGTCTTCACTCGCTCTTCAGTTCTCGTCAGTTACCTCCTTTATATGTTCATCTGGCTGGCATCTAACTTTTCTCTTTAACCCTGGGAGGTTATTAGACTCGGCCATCATTTACAGCTGAACTGTATGCACTTCTTATTGGAGTTATTCGTATTGCATCTATGCCTCCCTCAACATTTGTCGTAGTCTCGGATTCCTTTAGTGCTCTGCAAACTATTTAAAAATTTGATTCCCCTCATCACCTAGTTCTTCGTATACTTTGGTAGCGATGCATTTCTGCAAAAACAAAGAAATAGTTTTCAGGTGGGTCCCTGGTCATGTTGATGCTCAAGGCAACGAGCAGGCAGACTCTGCTGCTGGGTCCCTGGTCATGTTGATGCTCAAGGCAACGAGCAGGCAGATCTGCTGCTGGTCCTGTCATGTTGATGTCAAGGCAACGAGAGGCAGACTCTGCTGCTGGGTCTGGTCATTGATGCTCAAGGCAACGAGCAGGCAGACTCTGCTGCTGGGTCCCTGGTCATGTTGATGCTCAAGGCAACGAGCAGGCAGACTCTGCTGCTGGGTCCCTGGTCATGTTGATGTTCAAGGCAACGAGCAGGCAGACTCTGCTGCTGGGTCCCGGTCATGATGATGTTCAAGGCAACGAGCAGGCAGACTCTGCTGCTGGGTCCCTGGTCATGTTGATGTTCAAGGCAACGAGCAGGCAGACTCTGCTGCTGGGTCCCTGGTCATGTTGATGTTCAAGGCAACGAGCAGGCAGACTCTGCTGCTGGGTCCCGGTCATGATGATGTTCAAGGCAACGAGCAGGCAGACTCTGCTGCTGGGTCCCGGTCATGTTGATGTTCAAGGCAACGAGCAGGCAGACTCTGCTGCTGGGTCCCCGGTCATGATGATGTTCAAGGCAACGAGCAGGCAGACTCTGCTGCTGGGTCCCTGGTCATGTTGATGTTCAAGGCAACGAGCAGGCAGACTCTGCTGCTGGGTCCCTGGTCATGTTGATGTTCAAGGCAACGAGCAGGCAGACTCTGCTGCTGGGTCCCCGGTCATGATGATGTTCAAGGCAACGAGCAGGCAGACTCTGCTGCTGGGTCCCCGGTCATGATGATGTTCAAGGCAACGAGCAGGCAGACTCTGCTGCTGGGTCCCCGTCATGATGATGTTCAAGGCAACGAGCAGGCAGACTCTGCTGCTGGGTCCCTGGTCATGTTGATGTTCAAGGCAACGAGCAGGCAGACTCTGCTGCTGGGTCCCCGGTCATGTTGATGTTCAAGGCAACGAGCAGGCAGACTCTGCTGCTGGGTCCCCGGTCATGTTGATGTTCAAGGCAACGAGCAGGCAGACTCTGCTGCTGGGTCCCCGGTCATGTTAATGTTCAAGGCAACGAGCAGGCAGACTCTGCTGCTGGGTCCCCGGTCATGTTAATGTTCAAGGCAACGAGCAGGCAGACTCTGCTGCTGGGTCCCCAGTCATGTTGATGTTCAAGGCAACGAGCAGGCAGACTCTGCTGCTGGGTCCCTGGTCATGTTGATGTTCAAGGCAACGAGCAGGCAGACTCTGTTGCTGGGTCCTTGGTCATGTTAATGTTTAAGGCAACGAGCAGGCAGACTCTGCTGCTGGATCCCTGGTCATGTTGATGTTCAAGGCAACGAGCAGGCAGACTCTGCTGCTGGGTCCTTGGTCACGTTAATGTTCAAGGCAACGAGCAGGCAGACTCTGCTGCTGGGTCCCCGGTCATGTTAATGTTCAAGGCAACGAGCAGGCAGACTCTGCTGCTGGGTCCTTGGTCATGTTAATGTTCAAGGCAACGAGCAGGCAGACTCTGCTGCTGGGTCCTTGGTCATGTTGATGTTCAAGGCAACGAGCAGGCAGACTCTGCTGCTGGGTCTTTGGTCATGTTGATGTTCAAGACAACGAGCAGGCAGACTCTGCTGCTGGGTCCTTGGTCATGTTGATGTTCAAGGCAACGAGCAGGCAGACTCTGCTGCTGGGTCCTTGGTCATGTTGATGTTCAAGGCAACGAGCAGGCAGACTCTGCTGCTGAGTCCTTGGTCATGTTGATGTTCAAGGCAACGAGCAGGCAGACTCTGCTGCTGGGTCCTTGGTCATGTTGATGTTCAAGGCAACGAGCAGGCAGACTCTGCTGCTGGGTCCTTGGTCATGTTGATGTTCAAGGCAACGAGCAGGCAGACTCTGCTGCTGGGTCCCTGACTATGATAATGTTCAAGGCAACGAGCAGGCAGACTCTGCTGCTGGGTCCTTGGTCATGTTGATGTTCAAGGCAACGAGCAGGCAGACTCTGCTGCTGGGTCCTTGGTCATGTTGATGTTCAAGGCAACGAGCAGGCAGACTCTACTGCTGGGTCCTTGGTCATGTTGATGTTCAAGGCAACGAGCAGGCAGACTCTGCTGCTGGGTCCTTGGTCATGTTGATGTTCAAGGCAACGAGCAGGCAGACTCTGCTGCTGGGTCCTTGGTCATGTTGATGTTCAAGGCAACGAGCAGGCAGACTCTGCTGCTGGGTCCTTGGTCATGTTGATGTTCAAGGCAACGAGCAGGCAGACTCTGCTGCTGGGTCCTTGGTCATGTTGATGTTCAAGGCAACGAGCAGGCAGACTCTGCTGCTGAGTCCTTGGTCATGTTGTTGTTCAAGGCAACGAGCAGGCAGACTCTGCTGCTGGGTCCTTGGTCATGTTGATGTTCAAGGCAACGAGCAGACAGACTCTGCTGCTGGGTCCTTGGTCATGTTGATGTTCAAGGCAACGAGCAGGCAGACTGCCGTGCGGTCAGCAGTACATGATCTTGTTTCACATATTCCATTCTCAGATTATTTTGCTGTAATTTCTAATCATTTTCGCAACCGTTGACAACACCGTTGCTCCAATATGACTCATAACAAAATGTATTTTATCAAACCTCCAATAGTGAATACCAAATTTTCTCGCAGTACAGCCTACCAACACTAAAAGTTTGAAGCCGATCACACATAGAACAACTGCATTCTTCCAGTACTCTATACCCACATCCTTTCATTCATAATTCTACATATCAAAGCCATGTTTCCTACTTCATCTGTGTGATTCCGTTCTTCCGTATTACTTTCCGGTTCTTCTCTATTAACAGACATAACTTCTTCCTCTTTCATCATCATTCAAATATTCTGTCTCTATTTCTTGATGTTTGTTTAAATGCTCATATTTTTTTTTTCACTTTTTTTATCTTTAGTTATCAAACGCCTCATCAATTTACTCTTAACGAAGAAGTCTTTACCAGATTGTCTCTTTAAAACAGATTCTTGTTCCCGGAAAACTATGTTGATCGCTCAACCATTCTTTTATTTGTTTTTCATCGTGAATTTGCTTTTCTAATATATTTTCTTTTCGAAAAAAAAATCACAAAGACATATACTTCATTATGGTCATTTTCACCCTATTCATCCAATCATTTATTCCTTTTTTCCTAATTCACTCACCTTCAGTAGCCTTAAATCAATGCTGCACATCCTTGTATCATTCTTAAGTCTGTACCAAAAAACATCTTTGAAAATGTCAATTAAAAATTACGCTGTTTCACTACTTTAAAGGATATGCAGCCAATGCCGATATTTGTTAATGTTTTTATAAATTACAAGTTTTGCTCTTATTTTGCTGGTAATTAAGCCAGATTGCTTTAAATTTTATATAATCACTTGGAAATTTACAAATTACTGAACAGACAGTTTATGAAGTGACTGACAGAGACCTGAAGCCACATGACTGGTCACTTCTGGTAACTACCCTACGATAATTTCTGTGTTCTTTATTATAAATTTTGCTAATAATTATTTATTTCACGTCGTGTAACTTGCCGTAATAAAAATTACAACATCACTTGCATATTAGTGTCATGACTCAAAGATACTTCACAAACAATGCAGCACAGGTCAGTATTTGCAAGTGTCTTCTAATATACATCATTTGTTTATTTACAGTAATGAGTAACCACTGCGGTGTAGTGTACTCACCGAAGAGCTCTCAGAGGAAGGACTGGTGTGAGGAACATGGAGCAGAATATTCAGTGTGAGGAAGACGGACACTGTTGCACAGATACAAACGCTCCTCACTACCATGCTCGCCATTATGACCTTCACAGTTCCTCTGCTATTGCTACTTCAGGTGACGCTCCAGTCTCACTCTCACCATCAATAGACATTCCTTTTGTCTCAGGAAATTCTCATGATTTTCTCCACACTGTGAATAAACCAAAATAATATTTTATGTTATCCCATTTTCTTATTGTTGAGTTAAAAGTATATACATATATATATATACATACATACATATATATATATATATGTATTATATATATATATATATATATATATATATATATATATATATATATATAATATATATATATAATATATATATATATATATATATATATATATATATATATATATATATATATATATATATATATATATATATATATATATATATATATATGCGAACAATCACTGTGAAAGATTAGTGAAATTCCAAGTACTTTCGTGACTTCTCACATTATCAAGGAACTATAAAAACAAAACATCAAAGGAAGGCATTTAAAGGGTAAAAACTACACCTCACCATCACATCCCACAACAAAGCAACACCTCACACACGCGTGACAACACCCGACTCTGTGAAACACACTTAATACTCTACCCAAGACTTAAGATTTATTACTTGTTTAATGCATCATTAAATTCTTCCCAAATTTTATTAATTATAAATTAATCCAATATATATAAATCAAAGGAAATATTCATATTATTTTCAAAACTGCATTTTATGAAACAAGATTCAATTATATTTCTGTCAACCATGGACTTGCTTGATACCACTTTCTCAACTTTTTGAAAATCAATTGGATGGTTAAAATCTCTCACATGAATAAATAGAGCATTAAAATCTTGTCCAGTTCTAATGCTATATTTATGTTGTTTTAATCTTAGTTCGAGACTTTTACCAGTTTGACCGTAATAAACTTTATCGCAAATTTTACAAGGAATCTTATAGACACATCCGTCAGCATTTTGTGGGGAATTCTTTATCAAAAGTTTTTTTACTGTATCAAGATTTTTAAATACAACTTTGATATTAAAAGTCTTAAGAAGAGAAGGTATATCAACCAAGTTTTCATGGAAAGGTAGAACCAACATATTTTTAGTTGAATAAGCAGTTAGAGAGTAACTGCTTCTTTAACACGGTTAAGGTACGAACAGATGCCTTCTTTGACACCGCTACCAGTTTTGAAATGCTGCACCCAATTCCTCACTGAACGCTCATACACACCAACATTCTCCAACATTTCTTTCGTCTGGTGCCCAGCTTTGTGAAGCCCCATGATTTGAGCTATAGTTTCAGGTGTTAAAGATTTCCTTTTACCCATAATCAAACATGTATAACCCCAAAACCAAAGGGAACACCGGACAAAAGATGGGGCAGATGAGAGACAACAGTGCAACACTTCCTCTCACCACGGTAACCACGTGAGCAATGAGAAGGCACTGTGAAGTGTGGCAGCAGCCGAGAGGTCATGCTAACAGCTGCTACCCAGCAGAATACACTGACGAGAAAAGACCCTCCTGTAGGCCTTTGATTTTCGTCACAGCATTGTGCCGGGGTGCTCACCCGGCACAATGGATCAAAGTCTAGCGCAAGCTGGACTCCAAGGTATTGGTCCAGTGTGGGTAGATTGGTAAAGCACTGCGTACCTTGTTCCAAGGTTCGTAGGTTCGAATCTCCTTCAGCCAGAGATCAGTGTTTGTGTATATTTCGCCTGCTCCTGCGAATTCCTTGCATATATATATATATATTATATATATATATATATATATATATATATATATATATATATATATATATATATATATATCATGCCGAATAGGTAAAACTTGCGATTTTAGCTTCAATAACAACGCTCTTCTTGCCGAATAAGGCAAGCGACAATTTGTGTATGCAATAATTTCGCAAAAATCATTCTGAAGCTTACGAAAAAAATATTTCGTTGTGTTTGTTTATTATTAAATTATTGTAAACTTATCTAAAATATATTTAGTTGATTAGGCTAAATTTAATTGCGCTTGTTATAATAAGGTTAGGTAAGTTTTCTGGTACAAAATTATTAATTTTTACATTAACATGAATGAATAATTATATCTTTAAACGTATAAGAGAAAATTTTAGAAAGGACCTAATTTTATATGAGTTCTTGCTAATTGACCAGTTAACGAGTTAACAACCTTCGTCAACACTGTCTGGCTGGGCGGATTCCAGAAGAAATTTAAACCTTCCTTTTTTGGAGCCTCACTATGTGCTTTGAAGAAGAAGGATGGGGGAATCAGACCCACTGCTACTGCTAACATTCTTCGCCGTCTCGTTGCCAAAGCAGCAGTCAGAAACAGTCGCCTAGAACAGGGCTACTCAAATACTAAGAGCAAAGGTCCACATGGGCAAGTACCAATGTATGCAAAGGTCCGGATACGTGTTTTACACGCAGTGAGAGTCCAGGGTCGCCAGACTTCCCAGCCCATATGCTACCAAACTCTTTTTAAAAAATGCGAAAAAAGTCAACTTCATTGCACAAGTGATAATTGCCAATAAGAATTACCATTGAATGAAAGAAAATATCACTATTTAGCTATGCTAGAATACTGTATTCCATTTAGTGTATGCATTCTATTAAGATAGAATAATGTATTAATCCTGCTTTTGTGTACCACCTCATCCTGAAGGTGGTAACACCTTCTATTTAACTAAGCTTTCTCCTAAAGCCCGCAGTCCAACTAAAACACTCAGAAGGTCCGGATTCGGACCGCGGGCCGCCAATTGAGTAGCTCTGGCCTAGAAGCTGCCAGTTTACTCCAGCCACACCAACTGGACTTTTGGGTCTCTCAAGGCAGTGAAGCCGCAGCTCATGCTGCAAGGGCCTACATCAGGGACTTACCAGAAGACAAGTCCATAGTCAAACTTGACTAGAAATGCCTTTAATATGGTGAAAAGAGATGTGGTCTTGCCAGCCGTTCGGGATCGGTTTCCCAGTCTTTTTCCCTTCATTTCAGCTGGCTACAGCAAACCCCCAATTCTTTTGTTTGGCGAACAAGAAATTCTCTCATCAGAGGGTGTTCAGCAGGGTGATCCACTTGTTCCACTTCTCTTCTGCTTGGCAGTAAGAGAACTAATTTCCAGCCTGCGCAGTGAGCTCAGCATCTGGTACCTGGATGATGGCACTCTAGCAGGTACTGAAGAGTCCCTACTAGAGGACCTATAACTGATGAGGACACAGGGAGAAGCCTTGGGACTCATCCTTAATCCCTCCAAGTGTGAAATCATCACAACGAACCAGGAAATAATCAGGGCTGTGCTAACAATCCTCCCTGAAGTCTCTACTACCACTCCAGCCAAGAGCACTCTATTGGGAGCACCGCTGGGTCACCAGGCCATCGACACAGTCCTCAAGAACAAACTGAATGCCCTGAAGAGAATTGAGGAGAGAATAAGATATCTCGATGCCCATGATGCCCTGTATCTCCTCACAAGGTGTCTTACTCTGCCAAAGACTCACTTACTTCCTGAGGTGCACACCCTCTTTTGACAGCCCAACACTCAAAGAATATGACTAACTCCTGAGATCAATCTTTAAGAAGGCACTGAATCTGTCACTGGAAGATCAGCAATGGGATCAGGCAACCCTCCCAGTGTGACTGGGAGGTATATGGGTGCGTAAAACAATGCAGGGAGCTTTACCTGCATTTCTGTCTTCGTGTTTGACTTCCAGTGGATTAGTTAAGGAGATTGACCCTGAACGCTTGAGAGGTGCGGTAGGAGCTCAAAACCCCAGGTTCATTGAAGCAGCCGTGTGGTGGGACGCCCTTGCCGACTCCTCCAGTAGACCAGCTCCTCCTAAAGAGCACAAACAGTCCTATTGGGACAAACCGATCATGGAAAAAATCGCCAACACAATGCTCACCAACGCTTCAGAAAAGGACAATGCTCGTCTCCTGGCAGTGAAGGCACCAAATTCAGATTTCCTTCTAGCTGTTCCCAATTCCTCTTTGGGAACTTGACTCGACTCACAGGCCATTCGGATTCATGTTGCTCTTCGCCTAGCCGCCCTCATACTCACCAAACATAGGTGTATTTGCGGCAAGGCGACTGCTGATCAATTCAGATTTCATGGTCTCGTTTGTCACACATCAGAAGGGAAGTATGTAAGATATGAGGAGGTCAACGACATCATAAAGAGAAGCCTCATAAGAACATATGAACATAAGAAAAAGGAACACTGGAACAGGCCTACTGGCCTATGAGAGGCAGGTCCAATTCTCCCACAGGGTTAAGCCAATGCCTTGACCTACTGAGGTCAGACACATCACTTAGTAGTAGCACGAGCTAGTCATTTCCATCTCACACCCACCCACACCCACTCATGTATTTATCCAACCTATTTTTAAAACTATACAACGTCTTAGCGTCTATGACGGTACTCGGGAGATCGTTCCACTCATCCACAACTCTATTACCAAACCAGTGCTTTTCTATATCCTTCCTGAATTTTTCCAATTTTAAGCCATTGCTGCGAGTCCTGTCTATGTTAAATATTTTTAGCACGCTATTTACATCCCATTTATTAATTCCTGTTTTCCATTTATACACCTCAGTCATATCCCCCCTAATTCTACGCCTTTCTAGATAGTGCAGGTTCAGGGCCCTCAGTCTATCCTCATAGGGAAGATTTCTGATACATGGGATCAGCTTTGTCATCCTCCTTGGTACGTTTTTCAATGCATTTATATCCATTCTGTGATACAGTGATCAAAACTGTGCAGCATAATCTAAGTGTGTCCTAACCAAAGATATATGAGTTGAAGAACAACCCGAGGACTTATTTATACTTCTTGATATGAAGCCAAGGATTCTGTTAACTTTACTGCGAACACTAATGCAATGTCGTCATGGTTTTAGATTATTACCAACCAGAACTCCTAAATCCTTTTCGCAATTCGTAATATTAAGATCTACATTATTTAGTTTATATGTGGCATGGTTATTTTTCTGTCCAGTATTTATAACTTTGCATTTGTCTATATTAAACTGCATCTGCCACTTCTCCGACCATTGCATCAGTCTATTCATATCATCCTGGAGTGCTCTAATGTCCTCATTAGAATGAATTTGACGGCCTATTTTGGTGTCATCAGAAA